AATATATAACAATATTCGTTCAGTGTGAAGAATCTGTAAGCTGGCCAGAGATAAAAGGTACTCCCGAGACATGAACACATGATCAGAGACACAAAAGAAATAGAATTGTTTTCCCAAACCTTTCTTTTATTTTTCAGCCATAAAAGACTTAAATGTGTTTCACAGTGCAAGCTGAAGAAAGAAGCAAGCAGAATCAGGAATAAAGCGCCATGAGAGATTGCAGGCTGGATCATTAGCTTAAATAAGCAAATAGTGTCTTATTTTAGACACAGTAATTTTATATTCCTCACTTTAATTTGCAACCTCCACCTCCACACATTTAGTTACCAGCTGTACAAGGAGACAGCTCATAGATTTATTTCTGGGTAGGCATAATGCCTACAGGGTGACTTTACTACCTCATATTGACACATCTGAGCTATTTGCGTGAAGGACCCATGCGTAAAAAAAGAAAAAAGGTTACCACTTTTAGGAAATGTTTCAGTTTCCAGACTTTATTTTGGGTAATGACACCAATATTCAATGTCGCTCATGTAAATTCAAATGCCATGTTTAGAAGGTTGCATGGAAACCAGACTCCATAAACTTTTCAATTGATCGGTTGTGATGTAATTATTAGTTTCTGGCCTGAGATAGTCCTATCAAGCAAATGCTTATCTGTTTTCTCATTTCTGTTGTTGATATTCTGTCTCCCACCCCATTCCCCCCCCAAAAAAAATGGAATTGGCAGGAAGATGTGGAAATTTGATTGGTGAAATTCTATGCCCTTGTGAGACAAGTGTTCAAATAGGCTATTCAGTCATTCTTTGCTGCACACTTGAGTCCAATTACTCTTATTCCCCTTTCCCATCATATTTCTTAATTACTGTATTTTCACTTTTACTATGTCCTCCCTCAAAATACTAAAGGCATATTTGATGTTACATAGGTTGACAGCAGCCAGATTATTTTATGCGCGAAAATGGAAGGACACTTCGATTCCCACAATGGACGAATGGCTGCAAAAGTTGATGGAGTTAGCAGAGATGGCTAAATTGACTTCTTTGATTAAAGAAAACACAATTAATTTTTGTTTCTGCTTAGAAACCACTTCTGGACTTTTTGCTTGAGATGGAAAAAAAAGGGGAAATTTTGATTTGGGGTTTTACCGATTAATAGGTTTGTTGTTATAGAAATGGCTAGTTTATATTACTATGTAAAAATAAACAGTTGAAGTTTGATGCTTTTATCTTATTCTACTGCATCAAAGAAAGTTGGAAGTCAATGCCTTCTCTTTTTTTCTCTTTGTCCTACACTTTTCCCCTCCTTTCTACCCTCTTACTTTCTCACTATTTTCTTTTGTATTTTTATATTTTATATTATAAACTAATAAAAATACTAAAGGAATATATAGAGGTTTTCTTTCCCCTTGCAACAGTCTTCAGTACTATATGATGTTGAAAGATGCTAACTTGCTAACTGAAACATTAAATTTGAGCATAAGGACCACTGTAACAATTGTAATTTTGCCTGTTCTGTTCAAACATCTTCAGAGGGTCTGCACAAAATCGGTCCTCTCTGAAGCTAAGGGAGTGAGACTAGACATTTAATTGGCTACCGAATGCAAACACACGCACATACACACTTGCCTTCATGAAAGCATTTCAAGGTGATTTTAAATGGCTTAGAGGTGCAGATTTAATTTTTATGGTTAATTCATTAAATTTTTGTTGTTTAAGTTATTGAGATAGTCTATTATGGTTGACTTATGCAAATGCTCTGAAATAATTAAATAACTGTTAAATCACACCACTGCTAACATAGTCAAGAGAAACTAAGTTACTTATCTCTAATAATTTATATATTTCTTGCAGTGACTGGCTCTGCAGTTGGCAAACTCAAAAGAATATCCCACCCATCTCCATGTGCATCAACTTCTCCAGCCTTTGTTCTTCCAATGACCTCTGCCTCTTTCTGTAACAGGATGGTTTTCCTTGACTTAAGACCGTTCATTTAATGATGGTTCAAAGTTACCTCAGCCAACTGTCATATTATCCCAGCAGTCATACGACTGCAATTTGGGTACTCTCAAACTGGCTCACATTTATGACCGAGTGCGGCATCCTGTAATCATGTGATTGTGGCTCGCAACCTTTTTTTGCTGATTTCTGGCAAAGCATACCCATAGAAAGGCTTAACAACTGCATGATTCACTTAACAACCATTTGATTCATTTAACAACTGCTGTAAAAATGTTGTAAAATAGAGTCCTATTCAACTTATGACCACAAGAACTTATGGCAGAAATTCTGGCCCTAGTTGTGGTTATAAATCAAAAACTACCTGTATGGCACCTCTTTCCTCATTCCCAGACCACATAGACTGAGAGGATTCCCTGTTAAATATTATCTATACCATTCTCTTTTTTCCTGATGAGCAATAGTTAGCAAGAGCCAGAAAGTTCCTTTAGAGAAGAAACAGAAAAGGAGAGAGGCAACATTCATGCTGCAACAGGTTCTTTCATCTTCCAGCATTTTCTAAGCCATGGGAAATGAGCATGTTGATGGCAGAAGAGAAAGACCTAACCAGATATCTAAACAGCTGGTCAGGGTGGTTCCTGATGTGGTATTGGAAACTGAAAGATTGGTGGTTCAGAGATTAGCTTAATTGTTGCTAATGGCCTCCATGCCATCTTTGGAGATCTCTCAGTATGTTGCTGGCTCAAGACCATATTTTTGATTGGATACATGTAGTCCTTGACTTACAATGGCAATTGGCAGTAGAATTTCCCTCACTAAACAAAGCAGTCATAAATGAAATGGCATAATTTAGCAATGACAATCCCTGCAATGCTGGTTATGGTCATTAACGAATCCTATGCTTGTTAGGCAAGGCGACTTCCAAGTCAGTAGGAAAACCGATAGGAAGTTGCAAATCCCCAGAGGCTTGGGAGCAAATAAGTGGGTACTATTGGGTGGGAAGAGCACGAAGGGGTGTGAAAAGGTGAGAGAGAGACATGGCAAAGCTAGGAGAGGGTATGCAAGGTGCATGGTTGTGAAAGGGGCACAGCAAGGCTTGGGAAGGGTGAATAAGTAGTTAAAAATAAAAAAATAAAAAATATTTCCCTGTAAATAATTCCCACAAAACACTCATGTATTTATCATAGTAGTTTCTTTTTCATCTGATGTCACTACTACCATTTCAGGCAAGTAAATTATCAGCGGCTGCATTTTCTATCATCACATTTTTTTAAAAAAATCAAATATGAAGAACAGCTGCCAGGATGAATCAAAAATCCCGCACTTCTGCACTTTTTTCCCAAAACAAGCGAACCAGAAGAAATTAAAACAGAGCCAAATTCTTTGATCCTATTTTTTTAAGTTATTTCTTCATCACAGTCTCTTTCAAGGGAAGCATTTTTTTTTAAAAAAAGGAATAAGATTAGCATCAAGAGAAGCTAGATACTTTTGCCTTGACTCAGACATCAAATCTTAAATCTAGTTTGATTTTAGTATAGCACAGTGTAGGAAACCAGTTATCTTGGTTTATAATCCTGCAGATCATGATTTATTAATACTCATATTTCTATGCTGTTCCAAAACTAAATCTCTGTTATGGTGAGACTAACCACTGTACTTTATTCAATAAACATGGATAAACATTACTCAATACTATCTCTGTCATTATCAGGTTCTAGCTAAAAATTCCAGCAGTAATACCAGCCCGCTTTATTTTACATTTTACATAATTTACATACTCTAATATTTCTCTGTTTATTGATTTGTTTTAGGATGAATTGTCTAGTGATGGCCAAATTTGGTTTAGGTTTTGCCTCAGTACAATCTCTCTAATTAGCAACTGAATCAAAAGATCATTCTATACTATAGCAATTAAATGTACTCCAGTAAAGAGAGGGTGTCTTTATGAAAAGAAAGAATCTGGGAAAATGACTTATATTTACTTTTATAGTTAGCACAACAAAGAACTTCAAAGTTGATTGGTTTCTAAATAATCATCTGTCCAGGACAATTAAAGCACCCAATGATATGTGAGCATAACCATAGAAAAGAGAGTTATATTAAAGTATAAAAAATGTAAAACATTAGCAGGGGAAAGGACATCATGAGTCCCAGAAAGTCTATTGTAAAAAGATACAATTTCAACCAAGTTGAAAGTTCTTAACGTTTGAAAAGAAAGCCTTTTGTTAATCAACCTGAGAAAGTTCTTACCTTGCAGTTAGTTATAGCGAGTTGTTTTCTAAGGGAAAGCTTCAGCTTTCCATCCTTACAAGGGTATGTCCAAAATGTGATCCAAATTAAAGAAGATAAAACCCATATTAGTTTGTCAGAACAATAATACTACAAAACCCATATTTCGTATATTACAAAGTCCATCCAAGTGGCCCTCACTTGAAAAGATATGGCCTCTTATAGAACTGCTTTAGCATAACTGCGTTCGTTTAATCGTTGCACTGCTCCCATCATCTCCAACCAATGTGGGCTTAGCGGTGGAAGATTTGGGGAGGGCAGCCTCTCATATCTAGCGGATGCCAGACTATGCCTCTTCTAGATTAAGTTCTCCGTTGTTTCTCAAGCTTGGCAATTTTAAGAAATGTGGAATTTCAGGACTTCCCCAGCCAATCTGGAGGCTGAAATCCACAGGTCTTAAACTTGTCAAGTTTGAGAAACACTGTGACCTAGACTCGGGTCCTGTTCCCAGGCTGGTTGGGTGCGATGGAATTTATAGTCCGTGTCAAGAGAGCTATCACGGCCCTCCCTGACGACCCTTTTGTAAAAAAAAACAAAAAACAAAAAACAAAACACGCGCTCCTAAAAGAAGGACACGCGTTCCCAGTCGAGCACTAGCCTGGGCACATCACCACCTGTCGGCCTTCTTCCGGCTTCCGCCCGTCCTTGAAGCCGACTTCCTGCATCCGCTCTTGGAGAGGGAGAAAGGGAACGCCTCTTGGCGGAAGTTGACCCCTTTCCCGCTGAGAGCTGGGCGGAGCGAGTGGAATCGGCGAAGCTTTTCTTCTGCCCAATTCCGCTGCCGGCCGCTCGGTGCGGTTCTCGCTTGGCTGGCCGTCGCGAACCCGAGGAGGTCCGGGGGTTGCCCGGCCTTGCCCTCCTCCGCCCTGTCTGGCCGAGGTCCAGGGAGAAAGGAAGGCGGGCGCGCGTTGGCCCCGGAGGTGGCAGAGCTCGTTACGAGTCTCGAGAAAAGTCCCCTTGCCGCCTCCCAGAGCTGCCTCCTAAACGAATCGTGGACTAGTCTGGGCTCCTTCAGCTTCCAGGTAAGGGGCAGGAGAGTGGGAGAGATCTGGACGCTTTGATATTAAAAGTGGTGGGGGGTTTTTTGGAGGTGGGGATGCCAAGGATTTACATTGCATTGATTGCCCACCAAAAACATTGCATTGCTTTTATTGTGGACCCTGCTCTGGTGCTCAGTGGGACTCGTTGGGTGCCTGAAATATGAGGTTATGTAGTATTATTGCTCACCTAACGTGAGTTTTTCTTCTTTAATTTGGCTCACATTTTGGGCATGATGACTTTGCATGCCTGCAACGTCCCCCTGTATCGTAGATGGACCAAGAAGTCCCTGTCTCAAAGTCTTCAGCTCTTCTGTAGAGGCATAACAAAAAGCCTTGAGACACAAGCGCTGGGCCCCTTCTGTATCTGTGTCATCTCGCAAGGCATAGACAGAAGTGTGTTTGTGTGCGAAAGAATGAAAGCAGTGTTGCACTGATGTACAGCAAGTCTTCCCCTCCTTGCGTTTCATCAGTATAACACACACACATATACGCACGTGCATACTCACCCTTCTCGGATGCCTTTGAAACCTGGAAGCCCCAGGAATCTAAGGAACATTGTTTTCCCATTACATATAAAGATTTAGCAAATAAAAAATGACCAGAAACCTGAAATGCCTGAACAGGAATATTTGCAAAGTTGCATCTCCTGGGAGAGTATTGAGTGGTAGAACAAAGATAAGGGGTCTCATTGTTCAACTCCAAGTCCCAGCAGTCCTCAGAATTCCTCACAGGGCTGTTGTGATTGATTTGTTATTATTCTTTGTATTGCAATGAACTGCTTAAAGTAGCATAAAAAAATAACTTGAGATAAACTGGCTTATAATCCAACTGTTCTTTTATTTCATTCCTTTTTTCCATATGATTTATGGTGTGATCTTTCTCAGGAATGTCTTTCTTTTCTGGGAAAAAAACTGAACCTAATTTTAGCTAAATTTGACAACCATTTCATAATTTATTTCAGATACATTTGTACCAATCTAGCAGGCTCTTGGTGTTTACTGAGGCAAAATAATTAATGAGGGGAAATGGGGATTATGCATGTCATTATCCAGAATTGCTTGGAGAGAAATAGTTTACTGGAATAATGTTAATGCAAGTTCATCACTATTTGTATAGAATTGGCCATCCAGAAAATGGGGGAATGAATGGGGAATTACTCAAACTATTTTTTCCTTACCTGGAAAACTCAACCTGTAGGGGCCTAGAAATTTAAGAAGTGTAGATCCACGGTTTTGTAATGATTGTTACAGGACAGAACACCTTTTGCACTCAAATCTTTATTTTCCCAGACTACAAATTGTTTTACTGTCCACCTGATGGAGAATGTGACCAGTGCCCTACCTGCTGGAGCAGTAGCTGCTGTACTAAAGCCCAGCACAGAACTTCCTAAAGGGAGCTCAACTGTACATGGCTATGACTTTGACCATGGATTAGACTATCATGCCTTGCTCCAGTCTTATCTCAACACCGGTTTCCAGGCTACTAGTTTTGGACAGGCTGTGAATGAGATCAATCGAATGGTGAGTGGCCAGAATGATTCACAATAGGATGAAGAGACAGTAGACTGATAGAAAGAAAAACACTGGATTCTGTCCTTGAATGTAATTAATGAGGCTAAGACATATAAAGAATGGTTGCTGGAATTGGATATATCTAGTTTAATGAAGAGAAGGACTAGGGATGACATGATAGCAGTGTTCCAATATTTCAGAGGTTGCCACAAAGAAGAGGGAGTCAAGCTATTCTGCAGAGCACCTAAGGGCAGGACAAAAAGCAATGGATGGAAACTAATCAAGGAGAGAAGCCACCTAGAACTAAGGAGAAATTTCCTGACAGTTAGAACAATCAGTGGAACAACTTGCCTCCAGAAGTTATGAATGCTCCAACGCTGGAAGTTTTTAAAAAGAGATTGGACAACCATTTGTCTGAAGTTTCCTGCCTGAGCAGAGGGCTGGATTAGAAGACCTCTAAGATCCCTTCCAATTCTGTTATTCTATTCTATTGTATCACAAACCCTTATTTTCACTTTTAGTGAATATACATACTTGCCTATCCTGTGTATCTTTTATTTGCTCACATTGTCACATTCTCTATGCTTGCTTATGTTACGATGCAATTGGATCACATTTTTACTTGGCTACATTCAGCTTTTTGGTAATACTCTGCACACCACAGTATTTCACAAAATGACTATAAAAAGCCAATTTTATTTATTTGCTCAATGTCTAGACTGCCCAATTCCCAAAAAACAAGTCTGTAGAAATAGGAAAGATTATTGTTATGCTATGATGAACTTTAATCTTATTGTCTCATTACAACATAGAATTCAACTGATTAATGTTAATTATGATCTAGATTTTGATGGGCAATCTGTAATATGAGGCTGAGAGAATGAAGTAGATTTTGGGTGAAATCATCTCAAAATGGTGGCTGCCCCAAGAACCCTTTTTATTTTGGTAGAATTTTTGCTACCCATGATTGGAAGTCAAGCATTGAACAAGTTCATTGTTTGCACAAAATGTTCACACATTTCAGGTCTGTATACAGAACTTTTACCTGTATCTTTTAGCTGTATCTTAAAAACAGTCTCCATTGCCAAAACATCTCTTCCAAATGCATCACTTGTAAGGACAACTAAAATCAATATGCAGTTGTGATTCTTTTATCTTTGCCAGCTGACCTCATCTCAAAATAGCCTATTCTCCTTCTCATCTTCTCTTCTATGTTCAGATCCTGCTACAGACTTCACATCCTCCAACATGTTCTTATTTTCTAAACACATATTAAAATGAAACTAATTTTACCCATAAATTAAGTTACAGTTCACACTTCTTTATTTTAACCTTTCTTAACAACAGGATTTATTTAGACTTAGATTTTTGGAAAGAAAAGTGATACAATTCTGTTCATCACTATTTTAGAAATAAGGAAGGTATTCTCCCACAAACTACTCTTACATTTTTTTTCTCCTTCACGTCACCTTGCATTTCCGATTATCTGATCTGGAAGTAAACTAAACATTTTTTAAACTCAAATGTACCTTTTTTCTATCTGTGTCCCATTTCTTTGGCAATTATAAGTGGCTTAAAAGATCAAGCAAAGATTTATTGGTTTAGTAAACAAGATTTGTTTGTTTTGTTTGTCCTTCTTGCCTGCTATGAGCTCTGAAATACAGTGTTGCACCTGGGTTGAATTTTATTCAAATAATTGGATTATGTTGCAGATAGAAGCAAAGTTGACACCATTAGGTGAGGATGAAGGATATCATGCTGATTTGAATCCCTGTGCCCGTCGCCTGACTAGCTGCACAATTTTCTTGGGCTTCACTTCCAACCTCATCAGCTCAGGTGTGCGTGAGACCATCCGTTATCTGGTGCAACATAACATGGTATGACTTGACTAAAAAAATATGTTTCCATCTTTGATTTCTAAGGGAAAAAAAATGTATGTTTATGTGTCTGTGAAGATTCTCAGTCATCAAGGTCATAGTTGTCCTAAAGATGCTTTTTCAAGAGGCAACTGACTTTCTTGTTTTTCTTTGACGGCGTTTTGCTTCTCAACCAAGAAGCTTCTTCACCCACCATCCAGTCAGAGCTAAAAAAAAAGCTTCTTGGATGAGAAGCGAAACATCTTCAAAGAAAAACAAGAAAGTTCATTTGCCTCCTGAAAAAGCACCTTTGGGACAGTATGTTTATATGGTTGGAAAAGGAAGAGAGTGTTCTAGAAAGAAGAATTATGGGGGATTTATTACACCACATGTTTCTCTGGCATTTGAATGAACATACGAGGCCTGAAAAGAAAGACGTTATGGGAAATATTTTTTTCAATCATTCTGAAAAGAGATAATCAGCCATTGATGTGTGATTGATGGCAACGCTGAACCAAAGTAATCCTTCATAGAGAAAGTGGAGTAGAGTGTGGAGTGGAATAGGAATTTAGAGTAGAGCAGAGCAGAACAGAACAGAACAGAACAGAACAGAATAGAATAGAATAGAATTCTTTGTTGGCCAAGTGTGATTGGACACAGAAGAAATTTATATCTGGTGCACAAGCTCTCAGTGTACATACATAAGCTCTCTGTACATACAAACAATAAAGTGATAAATCGTAAATCATAGGATATAATCATAAATCATGTTACTTTTGATTTTGTAGGTTGATGTTTTGGTGACCACAGCAGGTGGTGTGGAGGAAGATCTGATCAAATGCTTGGCACCCACTTACATCGGTGACTTTAGTTTGCAAGGGAAAGAATTACGGCAAAATGGAATTAACAGGTGGTTCTTTTGGTAGTGCTGACCCCATCAGAAATCAGTATTTTTCAGTATCTTGGTGACTGGTATTGTGATCTGATATTATTTTCAGTTTTTCTCTTATAAAATAACCTATATTACCTCTCATATAGTTCTGAGAAGATGCTATAATTTGTGGACTGTAGAAAAGCAACACAAGGCAGAGGTCAATAGCTATTTCCTTTTGCCTCCTCCAGGATTGGGAATCTCTTGGTGCCCAATGACAATTACTGCAAGTTTGAAGACTGGCTAATGCCAATCCTGGACCAGATGGTGACTGAACAAGACTCAGAGGTGAGACCTGGAATGTTAAGGATGAAAAGTCTAGGTCTGACTTGTTTCTGTTATGATAATTGCAAAATTATGGGGTCATGTGATTACCATGTGTGCTAATTTTGAATCTTTGGGTTTTTCCTTCATAACCCAGGGAGAAAAAAATATAACATTCTAAGTGGTGGAGGGCAGTGTAACATTAAAACCAAGTCCTAATAATATTAAACCCTAACTCTATGATCCATAGAGTTTGTTCATTAGATTCAATTATTTTTATCCTTGCGCTTAACTTTTTCCCATGCCCATCTGTATTGTCTACCATTTTTTGATCCTCCCTGCCTTTCAGGGTATGAAATGGACTCCGTCAAAGCTCATTGCTCGGCTTGGCAAAGAAATCAACAATCCAGAATCAGTCTGTTATTGGGCACAAAAGGTAGGCTGAGAAAGGAATTTCTGTTTAATCCGTTGATTGACTTCTTTGTGAATAAGTGCTTGTCTTGGTTGTTACATAATGGGAGTGTCTCCCTTTTTCTAATATCTGATCACCTTAAGGCCTGTTTTATAAAAGTAGTACTCAACTTACAACCATTAGTGACCATTTGAAGTTACAACAACAGTGTAAAAAATGAATTATGACCATTTTTCACATAACTCTTGCAGCATCTCCATGTTGTTACATGATCAAAATTTGGACATTTAACAACTGGCATGTACCGTGTTTCCCTGAAAATAAGACCAGATTTTTTTTTTTTTTTTTTGCCTCCAAAAGAGGTACTAAGTCTTATTTTTGGGAGGTATCTTTTTCACTCACCTCCTGCACCGACAGCCCTGCCCAGCCAGTCCACTTCTTCTGCATCTGCATTCTGGCCTGCATTTCTCAGTCAGGCCTTTCTGGAAGGCCTCTGCAGCCGAGTACCGAGTTATGGATTGAATCCATAGTTTGGTCCTCAGCTACAGTGGAGTTTCCTGAAATGAAGGCCTGACTGAGAAATGCAGGCCTGGCTATAGAAGACGCCTCAGAAGAAGTGGGCTGGCGAGGAGATGACTGGCTGCAAGGTAAGTGGGTGCAGGGCTCATGGGGCAGATCCACACACCCCTCCCCCACCCTAGCTTGATTTTTAAGTGTGTGCTCACCCCAAAACTAGGTCTTATTTTGGGGGTACAGCTTATATTAGGCCCACCCCCAAAACTCAAGCTAGGGCTTATTTTCTGGGTAGGCCTTACTTTCAGGGCAATAGTATTTATGATGGTTGCAGTGTCCTGGGGTCATGTGATCATCTTTTGTGACCTGACAAGCAAAGTCAAGAGGGAAATTGGATTTACTTAATAACTATGTTACTAACCTAACAAATTCAATGATTCACTTAACATGCCAAGAAAGGTCATAAAATGGGGCAGAACTCACTTAACAGCTGTCTTGCTTAGCAGTGGAAATTTTGGTCATAAGTCAAGGTCTATCTGTATTTATATGATCTTGCACATGACCTTTGTACTGCTGATGCTACTGTCCCACTCATTTCCTAGTGGGTAGCTGGTTCTTTCCCCCCCCCCATTATTAGATATTTCTTTAAAACTGGGCTCCAAGGAAAGAAAAATAAATATTTAATGAATGAAACAAATGCAGGCAGTGCCTCTCTAGCTTCTGTGAGCCATGCTACTTATATTTTCTCAACAGAATAACATTCCTGTATTGAGCCCAGCAATAACAGATGGATCCCTCGGAGATATGATTTTTTTCCATTCCTATAAGAAACCAGGTCTTGTGCTGGACATCGTAGAAGGTGAATGAAAATATTTACAACATAAGTTGGCCCCTTAGCAATTTGTATTCTGCTTGCAACTTTAAGACAAAAAGGCAGCTCAAAGGTTATGAGCTGATGCTATATGCCTTTTTTTAGTTATAAAAATTTATTGAACTCTGATTAACAGACATCAAGTAACTAAATTATAATAACATGCAAGATACATAGAAGAGAACTGTTGAAAATAAAAAGTACTAAAAAGCAAGTAAAGATACAATACCATACATGTAGAAAATTACCATATACAGTATTGAAAATATTGATATTACGCTCTATTGCTGATAAGGCAAATGATAAAATCCATCCAGATTTGATAGAAATATTGTTTCTGCCTCTGATATTTTATTATTTTAACTTTATGGGTTGTTTTTTTTCTGAGGTAACAGTTGAAAGGTAATCTTGAAAGAGACTTTCAATTATTATATTATCAAGAGTTTTCCAGTGCTGGGAAATTACAATTATTTAGTAAAATTAAATATCTAAAAACTTCCTAATTTTCAAACTTCAGATTGGTTCCTGTAAATAGATGCAATAAGCCTAACTCTCAGGGAACATTCAGTTCTTTGTTTAGTAATGATACTTATCTCCTCCAAATATGTACGGAAAGCTGACAGCCCGGATTTGAGATCTGAGTGCCATGCAATGGGATGAGTTTCCATCCCAGCTCCCAACCTATGAGTTTGAAAGCATGCAAATGCGAGTAGATAAATAAGTACCACTTTGGTGGGAAGATAACTGCTTTCTGTGTGCCTTTGGTACATAATCATACTGGCCACATGACCATGGAAATGTCTTTGGACAACACTGGCTCCCATGGGCAAGAAATGGACAACACAACATACACACATACACACACACACACCAATCTGACTGGAATCACAAGCAAACAGTGTAAACTTCCAGTGAGTTCTTGCATTGAAGTTGAGGTTAGCAAATGCTGTATGTTGAAAGCTTGCAGCTGTAGGTTTATTGTTCAGATGTGCAATGCATTTGCAACACTTCTATCATAACCATTATTGTCGTCTCTCTTACAGACCTGAAACTCATTAATACCCAAGCCATCTTTGCCAGGAAGACAGGAATGATCATCTTGGGTGGAGGCCTTGTTAAGCACCACATTGCCAATGCAAATCTGATGGTGAGGGAAAGTGGTGTGTAGTAGCCACAAAGTCAGGGTTTATTTGGAAGGGAGAGACTATGGTATGAGATAAAACATTTGTTTAAGCAAAATGAATATAGAGACATCTTGGTGCTATTTGGTATCCCTCAGTTCTTATAATTTTGACAAAATGGCTTGCAACAATAAAACAAATATTTAAAGGCAATCTAGTAATCCATTATACCAGACAACAGTGCAGAAGGTGAACATTTTTACTTTGGATAGTTCCCCAGAAAATTAAAATGGCTGTGAGTATAGCTTTGAGTTGTTCAATTGACAGGTCATCACCACAAAACTGAAATTTCCAGTTGAGGTCATGGTAATTCTTGATAATCAGGAAGATCCCTTGCTGTGAGTTTGTCCCCTGCATGTTGAATGTAAGGTCAGACCTTGGCCATTCTTCTTCACATTGTCCTGTTTAGTAGGGCTTGGAAGGACTTCTACAAGGAATGTTGATGTTCTTCTGCCAGAGTGGAGAATGTTAGGTTAAATCATTGTTGGGTCTAATAATCATTTTTTGAAGTTGCTCTAAAGCACTTGTTCATACCCTTGCATTTTGGAAAAGATTAGCTACATCAGGGCAATGCTGATCTTAATGACAACTGAAGTGCTCATCATAGCCCTGCTATATCTAATCAAGGATATAATCAGTCAGCTGAGCCTTAGAGGTCACCATCTTTTTTTTTTGGTTTCCAGAGAAATGGAGCTGACTTCTCCGTATATGTCAACACCGCACAGGAGTTTGATGGTTCAGATTCAGGAGCTCGGCCTGACGAGGCAGTGTCCTGGGGAAAGATCCGTATGGATGCCAAGCCTGTCAAGGTATGTGTGGGACAAGAGATCACATGCTGACAGGGATGGGGGCATGATTTCCAGGACTGCCATTATAACCAGCCTGACAGGCAATTTGATTTAGAAAAAAAACAGATGAATATTTTGGAGCGGGACCAGTCATCTCAGCTACCGTGTTTTTTTCTTATTAGGTCTACGCTGATGCTTCTCTGGTTTTCCCATTGCTGGTTGCAGAGACTTTTGCTCAGAAACCCAATGCTTTTGTTCAAGAAAAGAAAAATGACTAAACTGGGAACTGCTGCATGAGGCATTTTATCTGTTCAGAACTGCCTGCTTCCATCCTGCATAACATCAGTCAGCACTTATGTTGAAATTGCCACGAAGATCTCCCTGGATGAATGGAGAGTGCAGCATATTGACCATTCAGATAGCTACTTCTACAATCCCCACACTGGACAGAAGTTGTATTCCAATTGTCTGCATATGATATTTAAACTGGGAAGTAATAATTCTACTAACCATTACTACTTGTAGTGATGGATCTTGTACTAAAAAATATGGTGGAGTTGGGAAGGAGAAGACCTTCAGTTATGTGCTCAATTCTTCCAAAGGATTTTTATGCAATGGTGGAATACATTAGGGCAGTGGTTCTCAACCTTTTTAATGCCGCGACCCCCAACCGGTCGTAAGTCGAGGACTACTCAACCGGTCGTAAGTCGAGGACTACTCAACTGGTGCAGCACCGTTTGCAGAATGGGACTTTTGGCGGGCTCAGCAGGGCAGAGACAGCCTGGACAATTCCTATTGGCTTTTGAAAGCCAATAGAATTAGACTCTATTCAAGAGAGTCTATTCTATTGGCAAAAGCCAATAGAATAAAAGGGAGTAGCACAGCTAAGGAAAAGGGGGAAAAAATGGTGGACTGCATTGTTAGGCAACCCCGTGAAATGGTCGTTCGACCCCAAATGGGGTCCCGACCCACAGGTTGAGAACCACTGCATTAGGGGTTCTGGAATTTCATTTGTGTGTTTGTGTGTGTGTCTTTCAATGACTGAACCAGGCCATACCTCTGTGATCTGGTCTCTCCTGTCTCCTTAGTCAGCCCCTGATATTTATTCAAGGTGTATTATGTGGAATTGCCTAAGAGCCATAATTTTGTAATAAACCACTGAAGATTTTAAACATACGAGTGTTCTAATTCTTTTGATGCCTTTTTGCATCCAAGTGTCAGTGACATTTTGTGACTTTTTGTGCATCTGAGTTAACAACAGCCATTATTTAAGGTTTTTTTTAATTCTTTCTGGGGCAAATTTGTAAATTGATTGAAAAAATAGTTTGTTGAACAATATATTTAATATTCTGCATTTGTTTGTGGGCTTTCAGAGATGATAACAGTTTTGGGTTATACAGTATGGGGAAATGGAAATTAAATAATGGACTTCAATTATTTTAAAAGCTGGTTGGCAAAGAAAGATGTTCAGTATAACTTGAAATTGCAAGCCTCCAGTAGCTCTGGATAAAGTAGCTCCTCTTAAAGTTGCTCCCAAAATAACTTTTAATCTGTCTGGAAAAGAAAATAATTTAATACTGGATTTGAGTAATCAAAATAACTTTTTATTTCTAATAGTTTTATTAAATATTACAACTACACCAATAAAAAACTAATACAAACTTTTTAGAAAATAAGGTGCAGAAAAAATATATAAAGAAAAAAAGAAATAATACAATAATCAAAAAGAAATGTATAAAGAAATGACTCCCTCTTTCATCTCAACATATATAAACAATTTTAGTACAGTAATTTATCACCTCTTAAAATGCAACAATTTATTTCTTCACATAATCCCACCTTTTATATATTGTATTAAAAAAACGATGAAAAACTCATCATTTTAATCCTGATCACATTATTTCACAGAGAAAAACAGCACTGATAATGTGCCCACTACTTATAATTCACATCTTCACTTAATATATGGAGTTTTATTCATAGTTTTATTTCTAATATATAAAGTTTTACATTTTTTCTTCCTTACTTCCAAGATTCAGACATATAGTTATCATTAACATATGGCTTTGTGTTACAGGATTCCGAATATTGGTTCTTTATGAGACACAAAGTCTGTACGTGATTTGTGTTTTATGCAAGAGGCATCATGAGAGTTGGCTGTCAAGTCTCTGCTTAAATATATCAAGGGAAGGGAAGGGAAATCCACAATCTTTGTGGGTGAATTGGCTTCTGTAATCAATTGCTCTACTGCTGGGATTTTTTTTTTTTAAGTCCCATCAGAATTTGCCTTTCTACAGTATTACACACACCCATTCTTTCATGTCCTCCACTTTCAGGTGCTAGGGAACAAATTTCTATCCTGATCTCAATTACGCCTTTTCAGGTATTTGAAAAGGGCTGTCGTGTCCTCCCATAGCTGTCTTCTGAAAGCTAAACAAGAATCCCAATTTTTGCAATCTGTCATCAAAGAAACAATTATACAAGCCATTATAGTTTACTTTCTCCTCCCCACCTCTTTTACCCTCACATAGAATCAATACAAAGTTTTAGAAAGCATACCTTACAGCTGCTTTTTCGTTTGTTTTCCTGTAATTCTGCCTCCTGCAAACATTGACTGTACACCATTCTCCCTCTCCGTTATTTAAAAGGTCCAAATTGTATGCTTATGGAAAAAAACAGTTCTGAGATATGAAAGGCATGTTAATATGCTTTGGGAATGAGGTGGTGGTGATGCTGGGGGTACTTATCTGCTACAACATAAACCATCATGAAATCACTTAAACAGTTATGTATGATCTAATTGGGCCATGATCGGACACGCTGTATGATTGTATTATTTTATTGTTTTATTGTTAGATTATTGTTTTAATTTTGTATGCCGCCCTGAGTCCCTTGGGATTGGGCGGCATATAAATAAAATTAAATAAATAAATAAATGTTCTAACCTCAGAATCTAGGAAGAAATACAGATTGGTTTCCTAAGATCTCTCCTCACCCCAAGACTAATAAATAAGGCAGGGTATAAATGACTGAATGAATAAATGCCTAATACAGCACTGGGACTAATGATGAGACTATTTAGAACTGAATCAGTATTTCCTGATTAGTCTGTTACCTGGCTAGAGCTTAACTTGGTCGTGCGGGACTGTTTACTATAGGTCAACATGATGGTTGAATGTTATAAATAAACTACTCATTCTGTCTGGTCCCTGAGCTCTTGTTATTCTGAGACTAGAAGTATGCAGAATCCAATTTAGCATTCTTTCAGTAATGTTGGGGATGGATTTAATAAAACTTTATTATTGCATGAATGTTATGTATGTAAAGTTCATAGAACTTTATAGAGTTTATAGAACATGGTTTCATTTACTAAACATAGACATAAACAGAATAACCAAGATGGAGGTCCCAACCCACTGCCCGAGTGGGATAACCTATAACATTTCAGACCACCGGCTGTCCAGTCCAGGATTTTTTACTGTGATCTAATATTAAGGCTACTCTTGCTTTTAATTAATAATTTCCCCAGCCAAATAGAAGAATTTTGTGTAAACAATTTTGCAGTAAAAAAAATTGCAACTTCAGTTCTGAAACTTTTCTACTTAATATGGTAAGAATGTCATCTCTATAGGTTAAGATGGATTTTTCCCCTTTATTTTTATTTCGCATCTGCTCTGAAATCATTACAAAGCAATCTAATGCAATTCCAGGTCAAGTGAAGGGAAGGGCTTCAAAAAGGAGCATGTATATATTCTATCTATCTATCTATCTATCTATCTATCTATCTATCTATCTATCTATCTATCTATCTATCTATCTATCTATCTACCTACCTACCTACCTACCTACCTACCTACCTACCTACCTACCTACCTACCTATCTATATACATTCTATCTAGATTCTGCCAACAGGATTAGTTAATATTCCTAGTATTTGTCTTTCTCCCGTCTGTCTGTCCTCCCTAACTATGCAGAATATGCTATAGGACTCTTAGTCTGTGAGATGGTAAATCAGGGAAAAACAAAATTTTCAAGCTACACGTTTTATTTACTGTACAAGCATATAGCTTTCCAAAGAAGTGACTAGGCAAGCAGTTTGTTCAAAATGTGACTTATTTTGTAATGGTTTTTATAATTGGATCCAATAAATGTCAGAAGGCTTTGGCAATAAATGCACAGATAAAAGGAAAGATGTTTCCATAAATATCTTTAAAAATGGCATACAATTAGTCTCTCATTGTTTTTTCTCATCCTGCCTTTTTGATCATCCAGCACTGGAAAATATACACATATATAGCACTTTATTTCCAGGCGCAGAAACTATAGCTGGATGGGAATATCAGTAATTCTGCTGTCATGTAATCTCACAAATCAGCATTCCTTTCACAGTATTAAAAGCCTTGTTCTCCTGCTTTATATTGTGTTCTGATAGCAATGATAGGAGCAAAGGCATCTTGCTTGCTTTCCCAATCTAAGCTGTTAAAATCAGTCTCATCACAAATATGCAATTTAAAAGCAAGGCTCCCTGTGCTCTTCAGCTTTCCCCAGGTGTCTTTGTTTTGTGTAGTCTTCTTAGCCTCATCCAACTTTGATGACTTCCAGATACGTAGATGTCAATATTCAGAATTAGGAATTTTTTTTAACCAACAGTTCTGAAATGTCCAGCCCTGATCATTCTAGAGGCTTCAGGGAGGACTGTAAAGAACCTTCAGACTGGCTACGAGTGCTATACAGTAAATATTGATACCCTCATACTGGTTTCCTACAGACCTTTCATTAAGATGGTGACTCTTGCCTAGTTTTCTAATTACCTATTCTAATATATTTGTGATGACATTTAGGCAACATTTAGTTGATGGAGACACAAAAGTTTCCCCCTCCCTCTCAAATTCTGATCAATCTCAAGAGGCATTGGAGTGTAACACTATATTCCTGCTGAATGCAGATCTTATCAGAGAAGCATAGGCAATATGGTACCCACAAATACTTTTCTTATATCCACCAGGTTTCTTGGGACACCCAACTTTTAATAAAGAACCAAGTTATATTAACCAGGGTTAATGGTGTGAAACTGCTTAAAAATGAAATTGATGAAATTTGGTATAAACCCCATGCAGAAAATGGCATTTAGCTGGGAAATATGCACAAATATTCAGAAAAAGGATAAAATAAACTCTTGACTACTAAGGACCTACAATACATTATTATGAGTTCCAACTGTCAAGAGTTTAATAATATGGTCATTCAAACCACTGGAAATGAAGGGAGGGAAGAGGGAGGGGAAGGGGAGAGGAGGGGAGGGAGAGGGGGAGCGATATAGGGAGGTGGAAAACATTTCACCCATGAGAGGTGATGGAGATAGTAATATCAAGGAGAGAAGCAACCTAGAACTAAGGAGAAACTTCCTGACAGTTAGAACAATTAACCAATGGAACAACCTGTCTCCAGAAGTGGTGAATGCTCCAACACTGGAAGTTTCTAAGAAGAGACTTGTCAGCCATTTGTCTGAAATGGTGTAGGG